TTAAACGACAAACGCCAATGAACGCCAACTTCACCATCACACTGCTCTGGCCAAACTGCTGACAGTGACTTACCATCTCCAGCAATATATCTAAACCACTTTTTCCTGTTGGCGGGAACAGATGCACTTTATCCTTCCACTCTCTCGCGCCGACCTCGTCGCGTATAGCGCTGTCTCTCGTCGAGCGATTAAAGTGAAACCATTACTCTGAGAACAAAAAAAGGTCCCCTTTGAGCAAATCGTAATATATCATCGCTTTGACGTTATGAGCTTAGGGACTTCGGACCGACTAGTTTGCTTTTGTTCAAATAAAGTAAAATTTATTGGAGTAACGGTTGCGTTTCTGTTGAAAATGAAATATTCTGTCTGACATTCAAGTTTTAGTTACCTACAAAAATCCTTTATACTCGAATAAGTATTCTATCATCTTATTTGATACGTACACAAATAATATGTGTATATATTAGTTTATAATTAATAAAAAATGAATATAAAAATTCAATAAACAAATCATATCACGAATCTATTTGCGGAAATGTTAGAACTATTGATGAAATAAATTAAAGAAATTAGAAACATCCATAGCATTGGTTACGAGCGCCGCCATTCGAACTGCCTCGGTGGAATCAACTTTGTTAGAACATCGGAGCGTGCAATAAAAATAAGCCGCTAATGCGCCGAGCCCTCACGGCGCAAACGCATTAATCAAACACCACAATGGCCCTGGGACGGCAATCGAGCAGCTGACGTCTGTTAACTATGCACAGCAGTCGAATACTTCCGAAAAGCTACGTATAACGTAAAAAAACTTTATAAATGAGTAAACTCGAATGTAAGTTCTTCCCCCGTCTGCTAGGTTGTTGTTCGATTTCTAACTAAAATAATAACTTTTTAATTTTTTTACAGTGCTAATCCCGACTTTTAAGATAATACTTTAAAGTCTGTAGAAAAAATTGGACGAAAAGTGGGAATCGAACCCACGTCTTCTTCTCTGGATTCGCACTCAGACGCTTGTAGAAATAGAAAGAAGAAATAGGTTTGCCTATATCATGATGTTAATATGTAACTATAAAATTGACGTTATAACTAAAAATAAACTATTTATTGTAATCTATCTAATTATTATTATCAAATTTCATTTTATCCAGGCCATGATATTTTTTATCAATACAGGCAAAGACCGGACATCCCTTTGCATACTTAACATACTTTAAACCTATTAAGTTTAGTTTATATTGTAATTTGAAATTTGCGGAACCACTGCTTTGTTTGATTTAACAAACTTTGTTTCCGGACAAATAAAAAATTGCCCGTTTTATTCGAAGCGTAAAAGTATCGTGCATAAATATCCTAAAGTTCTCAGACTTATAATAAAGACCAGATTGAGCTTTCTATAAAAGATCTACACAGAACCTACAACTCGTAGATGCTCAGGGAAGATCGTACCAAACAGTTGAGAGTGGACAAACTGACGCCGCGTACTCCGATAACAAGAAGCGTTTAACTTATTTGATACTGGCGTTCTACTTAAATAGGTACATGGTTTAACCCAAAACTTACAAGAATTATTTGTTAAATTACACGATAAACTGGCGTTATTGTTTAGAGTACTACAGTTCAAAACTATACTGTAACCCATACGTATAAAAGAGAGGTGAAATGCAGAAGGTGAATAAATTCAGGTTGTATTTTTGAGCATCGTTAGTTTTGTTACTACGATTAAAATATTTATTACGTTACAGTACCTATGAAATCGGTTCATTGTTGAGATCAAAGGTTCGGAACGGAAGTGTTCTTACTTAAAAACTGTCAGTGCCTTCATTTCCGATACGTGGTTCATACACTTCATTCATACTCGTATTTCTTACGGCCTGTGCTGCATTGGTGATATTCACTTCCACTATACAGGGAGATTTTTTGAGAAGTGCCCAAATTTACACAGGATGTTCAGACACGGTAGTATAATTGTTCATTGAAATAAAAAACAAAGTTTTTTTTCCAAAAAAAATGCCATTCTATTCCCTAAAAAAAAGAACGTGTTGAGAAGAATGCGGTAGTCATTCATAAATACCTAAATTTTACTGTGCACGAACTTGTGTGCGTGTTAGTTATGATTGATCGTGCGTAAAATAAATGAGTCACGCACTTTTTGACATAAGTTCAAATTAATGTAATTAATTACTTAAGATTGATTTTAAATATTTATCTTTTTTATATAACATTATTTATGTCTAGAATTTAATAAAAAAAAGTATAAAAACCACCCTGTAACACCCTTAAAATCTTACACACCCTTACATACCCTGACATTCCATGCAAAGGCGTCTCAAAACAATGAAACCCACGTTAGTTAAAGTTATCGTTTTTTTTTTTGTTAGATAAAACAAACTTAATATATCACAGCCTTTTTCAAAGGCCGCTTTGAATATCATTTAAGTGACCTGTTAATATGTTATCGTCGATCAATTAGAGAAATCGGTAAGTTTTTACATTAGATACTCTCTATAAAATTTTAATTAAAAAGTAAATATATATATTCCTGGTCATATTAATTTAATCTCCATGATAGAAACAAATTGTAAGTAGATAACCATGTTCTCAAACAAGTAAATAGTTCCTAAAATTACTTCGTAAATAATATAAGACCTCTGCTTTCGCTTGTACTAAGACTATTGAAACGAAATCGATGAAAAATAAATAAAAGTAACACTATGTTATATTTTGAATGCAACACTTTGCTTTTCACCGTTATAACTTTTTCAAACGTGACGTTTGATTGCCGCCATGTTGAATTTTGATTACTTTCATGTATTTAGTGACACGCGGAAGACTCATTCAATTCGTTTAACGTAAAAATGATTTAAATCGGCACGTTTGGTCTCTCGAGCGCCACAAAAGAACTATCATATTACATAGGCGGATAAACACATTACCCTCCTTTACGGTGCGCAGTCGGGAAAAATAAGACGTAATTACCTGTGGCTTCTTGTTTACCATATATTATCACAATGTTTGAATATAAATATTAAATATATTATAAATATATTGAACTATGTCAACCTACATACACTTTTCGGTATGAAAAATGCCCCATAATTTTGCTATTAACGGGGAATGTATAATGAGTTACTAATTGCAAAAAATTTGCATTACGTACTTGCGTAAATTACAAGGTGGTCAGCAGTGGATTAACATTTTTAACTGATGAATAGGCAACAATCTTTTTCTTACTCTTTTGTAAATCATCCAAAATGTACACCATTTATTTATTTATACTTTAATATACACCAAAAACACAAAAAGTGCAAATTTCATATAGGTAAATGTAAAAAGAAGTAAAATAGGCGGTCTTATTACCATTATATTTAATTATGTCAACTATCATTTTATTTGGAGATCATGCAAATTATTCATCCCGATTGGTGATCCAACCGATCGAATCGTGACGACGAAGACAATCAAATGGTAACTGCTCCGGCAGGGCATCGAGTCCGCAGTTGGCTATTGGTTCAAAAATGATTAACAATGCGTACGATATAGTACGAGTTAAATATCAAAGAAACTTTCGTTCGGAAACTCTTATTATAGAAGATAATTAGTTCTTTTATATTAGATATTTTGCAACGTAACTCTTCCTTTCCTATTAAATGTGATTAACTTATTAGGGAACATGTGCAGTAGCTGTCCACAAACATGCTAACAGTGTCATGAAGTAAGTCCAGTAAGAATAACTAAATGTAGACCATCCTATGTGAAGATGGAACCTGCAATGCGTGCAATTGGAATCAGCGATGCAACTGTTGCGACATCAGTGCATTACGTGCAGTGAAATTAAACAAATAACAAATGAATGAAAATTTCTAATACTCCCATTGTTTTTCTTCATCACAAAGCACAAAGTTTTAGTTAACAATTTAATAACAGCTTCAATGTCACCATTCTAGAAAAACTTTTATAACGAATTAACATTTAAACTTTCAACCTATGGACACAACATATCAAGTGCTGGCCATCAAGATAACTCCCGTAAAACACATAAAAATGTTTTACTTGAATGCCCTTGAACCACTAATAAAATCACTCGTTACCCACCTGTCATTAAAGGCTGCAAGTTAGAAACATATAACTCATTCAAAATAATGAAAGCTTTGCACTTATTTTAGGACATACATATTTATATGAGGTATGAAATTAATGGTATGATCTGTGAAATGATACACTTCCCACAATATGATCCTCTTTTAAAACTTAATTCATAAATACGCGAATAGACATATGATGTAAAAATTCCAAGTAATCATAATTAAAAATGACAATAATACAAATACAATTCTTCGTGTATTATACTCGAGGTGTTATAGTTTTCAATAAAAGATTTAATTTTATCTTAACGAGTTTTGTATCAGTTCGTAGGTAGGGGACCTACATTACCTTCTTGCCTACGTAACAAATTGTGGTTTCGTCATATCGCTACCTAGTTTCAAAAATACCTATCAACCCAAATACTGGCATGAAGAATGCTTTTAAATCGATATATTGTTTAATCGTAACGTAGGTAGATTTTTTAAACTGGTAAAGAAATTTGCAAAGTCAAAATAAAGTCAGAGTGAAGTTCATTTAGAAATCTACCACTCATTCCTGGTTAATACCGAAATGTATTGCATTTACAATCTTTGCGCCTACCGAGACCCCAATATCTCATTTTGTGTAAGGAGTTGTGACAGGGCTTTTAGCTATTGAGATATATTCTGGACTATTATCTTTCGTTCGTTTACTATCAGTAGACCCGGTATGTCAGTCTTATCTGTCGCACACAGACGAATCGGCCCGAACAGAATGCGGCACACTAACGTATAAAGTCATTACCAAATTAACGACATTCAGGTGAAGAAAAAGCATTTAGTAAACAAATCTTTAGCGGCACGGTCGCCTTGCTGCGTGGTGTTTGTGTCTTAATGATATTGTTAATACAACTGTGAAATCTGCCACGAAAACGCGCAATGTCGTCCTCCACTCCTTCGCCACCAAGCCTGCAATCCGAAGAGTCGAGAGACTCTTCGTCTTCGTCCGAATTCTCCACTACAATCGGCCCGCAGTATACGAGTCTGGGGGTGGACCAGAAAAACGTCTACAAAGCAAACACCCTGACGTCCCACGGGGTCGAAGATATATTGTCGGAAGGCATCAATTACGGCGCTCAAGAAAACGTGTTCGACTACAAGTCAGAAACATTGAACTCCATTTCTAATACATTCACGCAAGACTATAACTCGCGCGATTCGACGGGGTTCAGCATCCACGACATTCTCGGCCTGCAGCAGTCATATAATGTGACCAGTGCACCAGAAGACCTCGAAGCGAGATACGACTACCAAATTCCGAACTACGAAAACGTAAGCAACAGTTCCCATAACAACTACGGGTCCGGAACCGAAGAGGTGACCTCCGACGATTGTATGAATAAAAGTGATAACTTATTCGCAACTCCGCATGTTCACATTGACCATCAAGGTTCTTACAACAGAAACTATTTGCCTAACGACCCTGCGCGATGTCACCAAGGAAGCGGTTTAGACAACGACGTTGTCAAAGAAACTGTAAGGGACGTAAACGACTTACGTGATTCCAGTTTTCCCAATCAGGTAAATATATCTGTCGGAACATCTTGCACCTTAATGTCAACGCAATACTGATTACATTTACTCAGCGGTGTTGGAAACATGAAAACTATTGTCCGAACTGTGATTTACCACAAAATGAACCGTATCATTAATGGCGATTTAATTTGATTGCAGATAGGAGTAATTAAAGAACACTCCGTTGTCACCTTACTGTGTTATCGAATTTTGTGTAAGGTGGACGTATTCTAATTTCGTGTATACATTGGAACGACTTTTTTTTTTTTTCAGAACACCTGGAGTAAAACATCGGAATTAAATAATCCTATCATTACAGCTGCTTCTTCATTATCAAACGGTATGTATATACAATACTCTTCAAGTTATAATTAATTAAATGGATTACGAATAATTTATATAGAAATTTATAAATACCAAACAATGTATGAAAGAGCTATAAATGCTAAAATTAAGGAATAAAAATAATTTTGTATGTTTATAAAATTAAAAAAAATTGGAATTATTTCCAAAACTTGGTTTATATTACTTATTTACTTAAACGTGTAATCTTTCAGATATGTCATCAGACACAACCTCGTACCAAAAGGGTTTCACGAAGCGTGCTCGCACTGCGTACACGAGTTCACAGTTGGTGGAGTTGGAAAACGAGTTCCACCAGAACCGCTACCTCTGCCGCCCGCGACGCATCGAGTTGGCGAACTACCTCCAGCTCTCCGAGCGCCAAATCAAGATATGGTTCCAAAACAGGCGGATGAAGTATAAGAAGGACAACAAGCACAACAAGCCGTCATCGTCCGTGGATGACAGCAGCCCGTCGAGCTCCAAGGAGATGTCGCCGAGCCAGGACCACAAAATGAGCCACGGGCGGAGCTGCGGCGGTCACGATCGCCACAGAAGGCTGCTTACAGACGGCCACGCCAGCCACCACAAAATATACGTCACATCAAACGACGCGATGAACAGAACGGACTACTCGGGGAACCCGCTGAAGAGCGTCATCAAAGGGCCGCAAAGTGCCATGGAGCTACCGTCTTACACGCCGAATTTGTCGTACTCGTCGTACTACACTCCCGGAGCGAGCAGGGCCGCTTACTCATCGATGTCGGAGGTTTATCGTTACGATGAATCACTGCAGACGAATTCTAACGCGCTATCTTCGCTGCCCGCCGACAGCTACGTACCGAACGGCGTCAACATGAAGCTAAACGAAGAGATCACTCGGTACTCCGGCCCGACCTACTACAATTCACTGGCGAGTGGCGCCGTCGTGCCTGCCACTTCGGATGCGTTCGCTTTCAACGCCCCGATACCGACAACGGTTGCGCCAGCGTACGAGGACGGTCTGCAATTGAGGAACGCAAACGTTACGTTCGCACAGGACCCTTATTTCCCTTATATGGCAACGACTGACGCGAACAGTCAAGCTGCGAACGGCACCACTAATAACAAATATTCATCGTACATTTCGTTGTGAAATTAACTCAACCTGATTCTCAAATTTCTTTGCGTTCTATGTAACAATGAACTGTGACTTACGATCGAACGCAGCTCACTACTTATAAAGTTCAAACTATACCTTAATGTAATAAACTATAACTATGGTAATACATAATTTAATATAAGAACAACGTTATGTCGTCAACGTTAAATAATGTCACTTTGTTTATTTTGCTCTAATTAATTAATTTTAATAAAAATTGATATACAAATCAAATAATATTTATTTCAAAACGTAAAACACATTTGATTTATGTACTTCAAATAATAAATTAAAGATTCCCTTTCCTTGCCATTTTCATGTGTTATTGAATAAATTAAAAACAAGAACGATTTTAACATTGTTAACTTCTTTATTTCAATTTACATTACTTTAATATCATAAATAAAACTAAAAATAAATTAACATTATAAATTATGATTTTACAAAGACATTAACGCTTGCACATCAAATAGATGCCTTAGGGACACTTCTGGCTCGTTGGGCTCCCAATGAGGCATGTACGTAACTTCATCCTCACAGTCGGTAATGCTTACTGGCGAAATAGGTTCATACTTTACAGTGTTAACAAGTGGTGTTACATTCGTTTCCTTGAGAGGTTCATTTATATCGATACCCATCAAGAACGAATCCACGACCGTGATCAATTCCTTCATCGCCCGATCATCCAACGTCACGTAGCCGAATTCATCGGCGTCTTTCATTTTCGATTCAACATAGCTTAGGTCCAAAGTGGCGTCGACCTCTTCGGCAGACGAATCCGAGTTGCAGTTGGTCATTGGCTCCATTTCCCTTTGACTAATTCCAGACAGGCGTCTACGGTTTTGGAACCACACCTTTATCACTCGATCGCTCACGTTCAACATCTCCGTCAGGACTTGCCTCTCTTCCCTGGTCACGTACGGCCTCTTCTTAAAAATCTTCTCCAATATAAGTATTTGTTTTGTGTTGAAAACAGTCCGAGATTTTCGCTTTGCTATTGTTTTCAACGGTCGTTGATCTGAAAGGGATGAAAATTGTGTTGTCTAAATATTGTTAATATCTAAAAATATTCGTTTATTATAGAAATAATCGCGGATAAGTTATTAATTTTAATTTTGGAAATATTTTAACAACTTATTTCTTAACCGCAGTGTAAGTGTTACAGTGTTACAGTTTTAGTGCCAATACTGGCACTCTGTTAGCCTAATTACTTTAAATTGAACAACTAAAGGAGTATTTCTAAATTGTCTACTTACGCGTAATTTTCCCGTTATATCTTCTTTCATGTCTATCAGGCGTTAAATATGTAAAATCATCGGTCTTTCTTAGTAAGTATTGTGCCTGTAAAAATATGCTTTTTTAAATCAAAATTTCAAGTGACGTTAATAAAATAAATCGCAGACCATATTACATAATTATATAATACCTCAAATGAACAGGTTGAATTTAGCCTGGTGACGTCATAAAAAGTTGTATTGTCTACAGCCCGTGTTATGTTATTTGGTGACATCAGAAATCCGTGTCGCTAAAAGCAAAGTATTTATATATAATAAATACCTTTAACTCAAACAATTTTTCACATTTTAGGAAAATCAAAACATCCAAGACGTTACTACGTTACCTGATCGTAGAAAGTTGTCTCTGTCCGACCTTGTATAGTGTCTGGTAAATAAACTGAATATGAATATGGACTAACCTTAAACAAAAGACAATAATTAAAATAAATCCGCTCACATATTTAGTTATCAGAATCAAGTTAAGATCACTTACTCTTTCATTCAAAAACTCCAAAGGGTTTGTGTCAACCTCAGTGTGCAGACTTATTTCGGGACTTGAGAATTTTTTTGTGCAATCATGATCCGCGGAGGCCATTTCTAAAACAATGCGTTGTTGCATTGGATACATGTCACTAAAATGCACTGGGTAGTAGTGATGGTGGCCACTGAGCACTTAACCCTTATATACTTGCTTGAATTTAACTCATTAGCGAAAAGACCACCTCCAAAAGGCTTTTTTGTGCCCCATGATTAACTAAATAAAGGGCTAATCCTATTCCCTAATTGCTCTGTTTACTCCCCAAAACGGACACGATATGTCAACACGAGCACAGAATTAACTGCGTATACCTATTCTATTGAGTTGTTTTCGAAAAAAATACTTTCTTTATTCCCAAGTGTTATAAAAGAGTTTAAAATATGTTATTATAATTAAATACAGTCTGATTTTCATTTTACTTGCAGAAAAAAAGCGCATTTGAAACTTCTCTCGTGTTGCTAATGTCCGTGGTTGTTAGTTGTTACCTTTTTATTTCATAAAAATAAACAAGAATGATACGTAATAGCATAATATAAGTACACGTAACATAGCGATATTTTGTCGCAGGATCGATTCCACTGGTCTACGTAAATAGGTCAAGGTATTTTGAATTCTTTTTATTTGCGGATTATCAGCTTATGTACCAATTTATATAAACATGGTTCCGCAATTACCTAATTGAGATAATTTATCTGACGATCAATTAAAAAGATCGAAAAAGTAATGATCGTTCAGAAATCCTACTTTAGACTAATAATAACAATACACATTTAATTAAACCATATTTATATCTTTTAAATATTACTACTATTGTTCGAATGATTGTCAAACTTTAATCAGTAACTAACGTAATTCAAATTAATTTGATATTTGTCTAAACAGGCTGCCTTATAACAAAATCAAAGAGATTTTATTATTTTTATGTTCGTTTCTAACAAATTTTATTTTATCTTTTAACATAATAAATTCAACAGTCATATAACATCTTTTCTCAAATTGTTACCATCCTGTTAGAACAGACTTGAAAAGCGTGTTTTTTATTGAAGTTGTAGATATTTCACTTCGCATGTTCCTAACACACGGAAAAATTATAAATTGAGGGTAAAATAAAATCATTCTTCGTACATATCGTGCGCCATTTTGTAATTAGAATATCTTTCAACCAGTGCCTTAACTTGCTCCATCGTAACATTGCGAGTTATTTTGAGAATAATTAATTTAATTACAATATTAAGTATTAATCATGTTTCATAACGTATTAATGACAACGTTGACTCCATTAAGTAACACAAATGAGGTAAGAAAATGACATAATTTAATTATTTTCGGGACTCCACTTTAGTAATTGGGAATTCATTTGATTTACGTTAATTGCTTAGTGATATTAAATCAATTTAATCTAATTTGCATTAGCCATTGGGCAATTAAATTAAAAGATGGTTTATTAATCCAAATTGTAACCAACGAATGAGTGTCTAGAAGAGTATCGATAGATAAAATTCATGTTTCTTAGTTCGATGAATAAATGTTTTCATTAGATTTTAATTGGAGTGAAATTAATGAATAGTGCATTAGTCACCTTTGTATGGTACGTACCTATATTTTTACCATTTTATATATTGTGTATGCTCCTGATTTATGGCTTCTAAGTTTCTTACGCCTAACTGTTACGTTAAACTCACTGACGCTAAATTTACGCCTTTTGTTAACGTAAATATGTACTATAATATAGTTCTATCGAATTTCCTATCTGTCCTAACTGATGACATTCAGTTTAAGTGTTGCGAAGAAAAACATTATATAAAAGACTAAACAATATTTATATTATTTATTTTGTGGGGTAATTTTTAATCGTATACTGGTTCCTTAAAACATTTTTCCATGATAAATTTATACAATTTTCTAGGTATGTTGACATCTTCGATCATTACCTTAAGTAATTAAGGAACAAAAGCATGTTGTATAGAACGTTTAAATAAAAATACGAAAAAATAATCTTTCGAACTTTTAAAAAAAATTAAAAGCTTGACATTATTTGTTAAGATACATTGCTGGTAATATAACCAAAGTTTATGTTAAATACATTTTTACAAAAGTACTACTACTAATTTTACCAGTGTTCGTCAAAAATATTAGAATTTAATGGTAGTTTAAATCTTTTTACAGATTGATTGCTGGGAAAATAGACCATTTTCGAAAGTTACTCCGCAGCAATTTAAATCAAACGGTAAATTGCAATTATTTTTATCAACATTATTTTCACTTATACTTATGTGTAGTTGAAAATGATATGATTTACAAATACGAGGTAGATATGCCATCACAAGCGTACCGAAAATGAGGCAGTCAAATTCCGCCAATTGGTATATATAGATTGGATTTTTATAGACTGCACTCTCTTTCTGTATCATACATTTTATATCATCTGTCACATCGACTTACCTATGTCATACTAGCTGCTACCAGCGACTACGTCTGCGTAGAATAGGCTGAATGCGTAAAATTCAGACAGAAAGGCAGATAAACATAAAATATGTGTATAAATTATAGCCTATGAAGTGTAAAATATTACTGTTCATTAAGTTGTAAGTTTCATTAAAATCCATTCAGTAGTATTTGCGTGAAAGAGTAACAAACGTCCATCGATACATACAAACTTTCGGCTTTATAATATTGGTAAGGATTAGTAAGGACTAGCTGCTGCCCGCGACTACGTCTGCGTAGAATAGGCTGAAGGTGTAACATTAAGACAGAAAGACAGATAAACATAAAATATGTATATAAACTATAGCCTATGTCTTATTCTGAAGTGTAAAATATTACTGTAAAGTTTCATTAAAATCCATTCAGTAGTATTTGCGTGAAAGAGTAACAAACATCCATCCATACATGCAAACTTTCGCCTTTATAATATTAGTAAGGTAGTAAGGATTAATGATTAATTATTAATAAATAATTAAAAATTAATAATTAATATTAATATTAAGTTAATATTAATTATAATATATAAGTAAGGATAATTTAAAGCGGAACAACTTTAAACACCGCGCAGTATGGGCATGAGCTATCTCAGTTGGATTCGACAATCAAAAGGTATGAAGCAATTCTCATCATCAAGATAATGTTTACATAGATATATTTACAGACAGATTGACCCTTGAGGTGAATTGAAAAATAAATTAAGGTGTCTGTCTATCATTTACAAATAATAACTAGCCAAGCAGCTGTCTTTTCCGCTGCAATTTTATTGCACAAATGCAATAAAATTTATTTTTGTATGTATCTAGCACACACTCACAGTTATAATTATTTTTTTTTTAATTTTTGGCGGTTGTAATGTTATAAAGTGACGGTCGATACATTCATAAATGTTTACTACTGAGTTATGAAGTCCTTTTGCAGACTTGACATATCTTCTAAATATTTCTATTGAAAAAATATAGTACTTTTTGCTTTACACTTACTACACACGTACTACAACACATAACAAAAATGCAGTTAACAATTGAAACTGGAATTCGAAGCCATGTGGCAGCGTCATCACTCATAACTCTAATTAAGTAAATATCGTGCGTTGAAATTCAAAAACGATATGTTTTAAAAAGTGAAATTGTTTTTTTTTCGATTACAGATTCGAATTTAACTAGAACCATAAAGAAGAAAAATAAACGCATTCGTACGTCTTATACGACGGAGCAACTAAGAGTATTGGAAAGATGGTTCGCCCGGTCGAAATACCTAGACAGAGATCATCGTCGAGAGCTGTCCGAGGTGCTGGGCCTAGGGGAGAAGTGCATAAAAATATGGTTCCAAAACAGAAGAATGAAAGAGAAGAAAGAGAGTTCGGCGGAATCAAGTTGCGACTCTTCTAGCGAGGGCTGCACCGAGGCCGTTTCCCCGCTACCTTCGATGCAAACAGATCCTTCTGTTACACAAAACACTCCAGACAAAGTCATTACTGAGGACCTCTTAAAGTCTTCTCACCACTCGGCTATTACTTGGGAACAAAATGGTTCAACTCTTAGCCAATTTTCGAATTATCAATCAGTGAACGACCAACAATATTTCGGGAGTTGTCTACCAGTGTTTTCTTCTTTTAACAACGACACCAACGTTTATCCAACCCAGTATTATCCCTACGTTCAAAATGGCTTTAATTCAATCACTGAACCTAATCAGTATTACGGATTTCAGTCCCAATATTGGCCCGAAAATAATTTCAATTTAAGTTACATGTGAATGCTATATTCGGAAATACATGCTTTATGTTTAAGATGCGAAGAAGATATTATATTAAAAGTTAAATTATATAGCATTTAGAATATGAATGATTTGATTGATAATTTATTTCTTATATACTGATTGTATAAATGATTTATTTTACTTATTCACAATCGGTAGTGATATATTTTTAAACTAAAACTGACCTTATAATGTTACTATTTATTAAAATTTTTATATCTAAAATAATTAAACTGAATTAAGTTGCATGATATATTAAGTTAGTGTTATTATTAGTATAATAAATAATTATGCTTTATTTTATTTTATTATAAAATTGAAAATATTTCTATTATGTTGTTTTTTCGAAAACTATTATGAAAATTCACGTTCTTTATTTACATGTCTTATTTCCCTCTACAATTGCTTACTTTCTCTTGTTGCAATTAATTTTAAAAATTTTAATAAATTCATTTATTATTGTTATACTAATCTTCCCAAGGTTCGTAAGAGAATTATGTGAAAAAGATTTTTATGTATTAAACAATATTTAAAAAATAAAGGCTTATAATAAATTTATATGTAATTTTTTTCTTCATTGTTTACAAAATGTTTATGAAAAAATAATAAAATATAACGTAACGCAGTTTATTTTTAATATATTATTAGTAACACAGTATATATTGACACGTTTTTCCTAGTGGCTGGTTAAAATTATGCGATGAGCATTGTGATTTTTTTTTTGGCTGCGTATATAATATCTATTACACGTGTACTTACAAAATAATGGAATGTTTACCAGCTTTACTAAGTGTGGAACTGCATAAAGTAGTGCAAAAATATATCCGGAAACATTACTCATTTATTTATTTATGATAAACAACAATATACAGAAATTAGGAAGCTCACAAATAATAAAAATAAATAGATATTTATCTATAAATTTCAATAATAACGAATCGAAGAGAAAGTTAAATAGGGTAGGGAAATTGAGCGGGCGAGTTATGGATGGGTACTGCAAAAACATATTGAGGCATTTGATTTTCTTGTGGATATGCGACAGGATTCAGACTATTGTCCATATGACAATTGCAGAAACATTTTCTCCTTTGCACGTTGACAGTTTGCGCTGTGGTATTAGGCAGAGTATGCGGATTGGAAACTAGGGCAAATTGATTCATAGGCGTAACATTTGACATGTTCGGGTCGATTGGTTTCCATAGAATGTTTCCAACTGGTAAAAAGTTTTGAGTGTTTTGCGAGTATGATGGAACATGGCCCATCGGGATATGCCTCGAATGCATAGACGTCGAACTGAGCGAATTATTAGAATGACCGTTAGATTTAATAGTCTCTGCCGTATCGTGTCTTGTGCTCGGAATGATCTTAGACCTTGATGGTCTTACGGCGATATCGTGTGAATTCTTTTTGTATTTCTTCAACAACTCAATAGAGAATTGCGCGGTGTTACTATTATTGGTGCTACTTGTGACTGTATTATTTTGATAAAATCGTGATTTCACAACATTATCAATTCCATCGTTTTCTGTATCAGTCTTTTCCGACGAAGTAACATTGTCTTCAGGTTTACCAGCATTTTGGGAGAAAACATTATTATAGGCTTTGCTTAAACCTGTTTTCGGTTTTACTTGCGGTGAAATGGAATTTGACACAATATCGTTATTTGATAGCATGGTGGTCGAGATTTTTAATTGATCATTAACCAAATTAACCGCGTTATGCTGCGTTTCATCATGATTATGATGGGTGTTGTCTTTCTTTTCCTTCATTCGACGATTCTGGAACCATATTTTAACAGCTCTTTCGGGTATATTTAATATCTTCGCAATTGCTTTTCGATTCACAATGCCAATGTATGGGAATTTTTTAAATTCCTTTTCCAAGCCGTTTATTTGGTCCGTCGTAAAAGCACTCCTAAATCGCTTCTTCTTTTTGTTACTCAAATGACAACTGTTGTTCTGGAAATAATCAAGGTGATGCTATTATATTAAAAACTAAACATTGTTAATGATCAATTTGTAAACAAAACTGCGCTTTGTGTTTTTTGTGTTTACACAAAACTTTGAACTGCAACTATTTTAAATACGTACACATTTCATAGCAAAAATGCAGACAAAATAATAAGGACACTAAAACATTTAAAACAAGAGCCTCCCCTTTTATGCAATGGAATTAAAATTCATAACATATACAAGTAAATGTTTAAAAGAATTGAAAAAATACTTACATCATTCTCAAAATCAACGTTGAATGTCCGGTTTATTAGATTTCCAATATCCATTTCAGCTATTATCGATAGTTTTAAAGTTGCTCTTAAACACACAGCTAAACAAGAAAGACACAATGTTACACTACGTATATCTTATACGACTAAGAAATGAAAAAACATAGAGTCTTATATATACATTTTAACTGCATTAATTAATAACATACACAATTACACAAACTGCTCAGTAATTAACTAATCATTGTGGGGGGAATTATAATTTGTTATTATCTTTTAACACTACATTAAATATTGATTCCATTATTGGCATAATGATTGAGTAATGACTCAATCTATCGAAAATGTAAGCTGCTACGTAAATAATCACTGTTTAGTTAAATATTTATGTCAAATTTCATATTAGAAAATAAAAACTATCTCTTTCTTTTTATCACGTCTCATTTCATAAGTAATTTGATCTGTTGTTTTGTATCAAATTGGTTGATGACGCAAATAAGCTCACTTTTGTACAGAATTCTATTAGCTTCATTACAAATTAATATTTGATGTAATTATTTTCCATATTAAGTTTCGCTTAACAATGTATTGATATACATACATTGTGATCATTAATCCAGATCTGGTATACCGACATCTTAATAATGGAACCAGCGATCCGACGGTTATAGAGTTTGTAGCGATATCCTATAGCTATTTAAAAATTGCAATCAGTCATATTTATTTATATACTCGTAATCATACTGTATTGTTTCTTGATTTTATTGTATAATATAACTAAATTTATCACTGCATTTTGTACCGCCATGTATTTTGAGGATAAATAAATAAAAAGATATAATAAAATAATAGATGTAACTCGGTTGATGACTCGGTGGCGTCGTTGCTACGCAATTGGTTTCGGCATCGGGGATCGTGGGTTCGACTCTCACAAGGGATAATTATTTGTGTGACCCACATATAATTTTTCTGGTTGTTTATTTCCCAAGGAGGGTTGACGTCAGGCAGGCGGCCGGTCGTAAAAATATAGCCAAATCCGCTTACAGCTAGATGGGATAAGGGCAGGAGGATGATGATGAGGTTTAACTGGGAGCTTTCACAGTTCTATTTTCTTTCAGGTTATAAAGACACCGTCAGGGCTGTCTTTCTTTTAAGAATTTAACACGTATTAATCAAGAAAATGCGAAATGGCAATTTTTTCAATTAAAAAAATATTTCTTTGAATACTTTAAATGATTTTGTATAGTGTTTGAGTAAATAAAAAGCTTATCTGAAAAGTTAGTTAAAGCATTTTAATACAAAACCGTTCAGAAAGTACGCTTTCGTTTTTAGGGTTCCGTGCCCAAGGGGTAAAACGAGATCTCTTTGCATTCACGAGGTACAGTATAAATTCAATAAGTCATTAATCTATTAATGCTGCTAATGTATTTTTCAGTTGAAAATTACACTAGTATGAGGATTTGTTTGGCTTTACGTGTGTACTTTATTATAGTTTATGTCAAAGATGTTCCAATGCATGAATATGTATTTGTACAAAATAACTTAAACGGCTGGATAATTATTCTTATATTTATAGTCTAAAATAACGTTGTAGAAATCCTATAAGCTGCTGTTACTATACCACAGTAAGCTTTTTTTTCGTATATATATTTTTAGATTAATATTTTTTCATTCACGACATTTTCAGTTAAACATTGGATTCCATTGGTTTTCCAGTGTCATACCTCTGTCTTTCGAAAAGAAAAGTAAAATTTACTATTTAGGTAATATGAAGTTTTCCTTTCTATTACGATTATACCAACAGTATTTATATTTACTGATTTTTTGGTACCGTTTGAAGTACTCAGTATATAATTAAATCTCTGTTCGATGTAGCATCTATGTAAGCCATAAAAACCAAGGAACGCTTAATACTAAATTTCATAAGAGTTACCCTTTTCAAAACTTGGGAATCAGTAGGCTAGTGTTTAATACAGATAAATAGTCATTTTAAGTTTTCCACATCATTTATTGGTCCCAACATTAGGCGTGTTTCAATAAATTAAAGAAAAATATTAAAGTCGACGAACTGAATTCCTTATATACAATCGTAACAATATAATCTAGGAGTCCTCTTCGAATTGCATGCTCCGGATCCACGATAGGTCCCAGCTCTGATCGTTAATCTCGCTCTTGACGGAATCGATTGCGGAGATGTCGGAATGCAACGGTGATTCTTGTAACGAATCCGGTATATCAGGTTTGCATGGTGGCTCGAGGTTTTCGAATTTGAGCTCCGTTTGTGGCACTGGCTCGAAGCCATCCTGCAACTGCATGTTATCGTCCAGAACAAACGTGGGGTAGGTCAACTCATTCCTGGCATCCGAGTGCATATGGGGGATCATAGGGGTAGACGCCATCGGGTATTGCGCCACATAGTAATTCTGGTACGCTCCATTCGGCATCTGAGCTTGAAACTGGTTTGGGGCTGGTAGCGGGGCTTTGCAAATCATCTCGGGCGAGGAGTCCGTGGTGCTTGGCTCCTCGCATTCGTCGTACCCCTCAGCCCTGTCCTTCTTCTCCTTCATCCTCCTGTTCTGGAACCAGATCTTGATCGTCCGCTCGTTCAGATGCAAGATGTCCGCTAGCTCTATGCGCCGGCTGCGGTCCAAGTATCTGGTACGTGCGTACTCCTGCTCCAACTCCATCATCTGCTGGCTGGTGAACGCCGTCCTGACTCTCTTGTGCTTCTTCACGCCGCCGCTGGCCTTGGTCGGGTTCCAGTTGGGCCGGGCGTGCCTCTCGCTGTTCCCTTGCGTCCAAGCGCTGTGGCTGTGTGGATTACTGGTGACGTTCCTCTGCAGCGGGCCTACAGCATTTGGGACGATGTAGCCCTGCATCTGAGGCCTTGCCCCGTTGCCGTAAAAGCCGTTGGGCACGCTAGCCGCCTCCCTTTCGCACGCCGGCAACAAATACGTGGGTGGATTGTACTGCTGCCCGTTGAAGTTTGATATGCCGCTTATGATGTTCATCTTTGAATTGATATAGCCACCGTTTGGATCGGTGAAGCTCGAGATTGGGACAATCTTGTACGGCGGCACTTCACCCCATGACGTAGTCTGTGAAATATAGATAGTCAAGTTAGTTACTCTGCTTCACAATAATAACCTATAAATTCAGCAACGCTGTAATTATTCCAGGCACGGGCTACTTAACCGCGGGCACACAATCGAGCTTCTTAAATTCTAGACGGAGACATTTTAATACTGCTACTGTGAATTGAGTATAAAATTTTCTCAAATTCGCCAATTACTTGTAAATGACAAATTAAAAGTAACATAATGAACCCATGAGTAAATAGGAAACAGTCAAATTATGTGTGGATAGGTTACCGTAGTAGAAAAAGCCGGGTCATCATTGACATGCTGGCTCCACTGGTGGTCCCCCGAGCTCGTCGGGGTTGGGCCGTAAAGCCGTGACGTCAGAGGCGACGATTGACTGGGAACTGTTGTGGACACAGACATCGCGTATTGAGTGATATCGAAGAGCTTACAGCTTACGACGCGTCCACCACGAATGTCGAGGTGTAAATAATTATTTCGCTAATTGGGGTGTGATTTTTATACTCCCTCTGCAACAAGTGATTAGTGAAACCCGAGTAAAGGAGACTTCGATGACTAAACAGCTTAATTAGACTGTTTACGAGTATTTGGAATAATTTCGTTATTAAGGACCTATGTTATGTACCTACGGTTGAATTTTTACAATTTGTATTCTAGCTCTCCTTTTCGTTAAATATCATAAATATATTGTTATCCTTTTGGTTGATTTATACCATATGAGAATTAATTGTAAACAGTACATTATGGGTACTGTAAATTTCTCTTATTTCTAGGTAATAATATGGTAATCTGTTCGAATTAATTTAATGTGATTGTTAGGGTGGTATCTAATGAATAATGAAAATGAAGATTATATCATCTTCTCATCATCTTCTTTATATCGTTTCCTATATTACATATTGTAGATAAAAAAAGAAATTATTTCATTACATCCTTTTACGTGTTTAAAATAAGAAAAAAAATTAGCAAGTTCTTAATATATACTTAATTCCAGGTAGAAGAAGGTCTTTATCACCTAACGATGACTCCGGGGCGCATTTGCTAAAGAGTGGGTTTTGGCGTCAAAAGTCGTGGGTTCCATTCCTACATGAGACACAATTATTTGTGTGATCCACAGATAATTAGAGTGTTTGTCCACGTGAAATTTATGTATGTAAATCTTCCTTACAATACAGGATAATGTTATACTAAAGTATGGACAATGATTTATATATTAGTAGACAGCTTATGATTAGTTCATTGATATGATTCGAATTTGTAACTCAACAGCTACATAAGTATAGCCTCTGCCGCTGATTTGCAGCATAATTATGTTTAATATGAAAGAAAACAAGCCGCGCTGCTTTGGGTAGCTTCACTGAACTAACAGCAAATCGTCTCAGACTTTGAGTTTATATTGCATTTAATCACTAATCTAATGGACATTTAAACATCATAAGTTGATGAGACCACAAGTCGAGTTTCCCGGGTCTTAATTTTCATTTCACTAATATGTTTTACTGGTCATTTACAATCATCATTGGAAAATATAGATGAAGTAAGTGCACATGGTTATTGGGCTCTTCGTATTATGGCAAAGTTACATTTTAGTTTAATTTATGCAACGGGTACCTAAATTATAATTATAAACATGCTAGTATTACATAAATAATATAGAAATATTAGCTTTATCTCACACATCATAGGATATTCATCAAATTAATGATTTGGCCTTTTTAATGGCCCAACAGGTGATAAGTACTATACATTACCCGTGTTTATATATTTTTTTATTATTTTAACTACTGTATTTTATAGTAAAATAATAATAAATTATTATTTCATAAAGAAATTAGAAATCCAAACGTTTTGATATAATTGAAATAGTAAGATAATCAACAAATACTTGATTTGAAAGGATTATTTATTAGGAGCAATAATTTCAAGTTTTTTGAAATTATTACTCCTGGCTTATTTCATTTTCTGCGCCATCTTGTGTCGAGTGTAAGTACTTATTCTAAGGTTTATAACATGGCCTGAGAAAAGCTTTCGCCGTGAAAACGTAAAACATTTTCCTCTCCCAAAACCCTTAATTTACTAAATCAGAAGAGGTAATATTTTTATAGGCATAGTACAATATTAATGTTCGTAACGATAATATATCACATACGGATAAGATCTCATAATATACTCATATCTTCCTAAATCTTTAACAAATATTTTTATTGTTCTTCACACAAACTTGTTGAAAGCTCCACACCGTGGCTGTAGTTTCGAAATAAAAGGATAGATGGCGTAACTAAGGTTCTATTTCTAAAATCATATGAACTGGTTGGCGACATCTTCTGGTGACTGAAGTCACTACTCAGAATATGTACAGTGCCGCATATAGTAGTGATATTGTACATGACACTTGCCCTTCCATGATAAATGCTTAATTCATAGCTAGTTTCATATGTCAATTATATACAAACAAATATTTTAGGAACCATCAAAAATATATCGTGCAAGAAAACTAACGTGAGTGGAGTTTGGCCCCAACAGGTAATAAAAACACGTTATATATTTGGTTGCCTTTTATTGTGACTTTAAACGACGTTTTTAAAATAAACTGGCAGTAGCACATTAACCATCATTATTAGAACGACAAAGATGTCAGTCCTTTCTATGACCATGAACACTGCAAAATATTCGAAACGTCGAGAAATTTTAAAAATTAAAACACAGTAAAATGTATAAAGTTATTAACACGTGCAATAAAAGGGTGAACCAAATACATTCAGCGATGAACAATTCCCAATATAAAATATCAATAATCCACAGTAGCATCTATACGAAGTGTTAATGGGTACTTATTGAAATTTTAAAATTAATTTAAGACCAAAGGCGCTCATCGTTTCTTTCGAAACATAAATGGCTCGCAAATCATTGTTCATGCGACTCTTGACGAATGTAGAATATTTCGGCGAAGAACTTTTACCGTGGTCTATGCTAGAGTTTGCTTATATTGAATAAACGTGAGTTGAATAGTAATATAGGGTTGTCAAGAATAACTCTAAGAAAAATATTATTTTTAATTGTTATTTTACCACGTGTGCTAATCGATAAAAAAGGGTGCTTGTTTTTAACAAAAATAATTATTGATATAAGTAAACATTTAATAAAATAAGTTAAGTTTGCAATTAAAATTACAGTTTTATCAATACTGTAAACAATGCCGGATTGTAATAGGTGCAATTGTATTTTTGTAGGCGGAGTCAACATTTTGCGACTTAAAAGGGGACAAGAAGCTGTCAATCAGCGTCGGCAAGGGGATAATCCCCAAATTATTACGCTTACTCAACTACTTTGAAAACACTAACACCGTAACAACAATTCCTTATCTGCTATGACAAAAGAAACAATAACAATCATCTTGTTTACACTTTTTAAATTTGTTTACATGTGCAGTATAATGATGTGCCGACTAGATCTTATGAATAACTGTTATTTTCAACGCTTACTTGTTTTTCATTCCACTAATGAGGATATTTTAATATTTTGTTGTTTGTCTATAAGTTATAGCAATAATCTGTTTATTCCGTTACAGACATTTTCAACTGTTCAAATGGATGAAGATACATTTAGTATCACACGAGTTGTTTCTGGGTTTCACACTTTTGTTTATATTTTAATAGCGACCCGCCCCGACTTCGCAGGGGTGCAATATATTATACATTTAACCTTCCTCTTGAATCACTTTATCTAGTAAAAAGAACACAACAAGATCCGTTGCGTAGTTTTAAAAATCTAAGCATACATAGGGACAGATAGAAAGAGGGACGACTTTGTTTTATACTATGTAGTGCTTTTCATTTATTTCGCTGTTTGAAACATGCATTTTAATTATTGTGTTGTAGAGTAAAGTCTATTTTAAAAAAGGTATATTGACCATCGATACTGGCACGTTATTTTTTTTGAGTTAGAGGAATAAAACTACTTTCCTTTTTTTGTTATTCAGTTGGCACTGCGTCGAACATTTCGCGCGACGCTTGGCAGCCCTGCGCGACGGCGGGAGATCATCAATCATCGCGGCAAGACAATCACAACCGGTGGCACATCTGCCACGCTGTTGCCGTCGCGCCTCCACCGCTCCACCCGTCGTTCGTCGCCGAAATGCAATATTATCTGTGGCGCGCTTCTTATTAACCGTATTGTTACTAACTTACCGTCGCATATGTGTAGTTACAGATATGAATATCTATGGATAAGCATTCTGGAACTTTCCTTATATACATATACTTGAGCTGTCCGCAATATTCAATACTAAATATAAAAGAGAATTATTCTAATATAGTTTACAATAGAAATGTGTATCTGTCTTGTTCGCAGTTAATATATTTTCTAAATGCACACGGTTACCGGGGAATTCGTGTCACATTTACCTGTAACAAATTATGGACACGTCATCGATGTTGTGTGACTTCATCATTAAATCAAGTCCCAATTTAAAATTCTCAACTTTCCTAGTAGGTACAATCTACCTATTCTTTTATTCTATCTACCATACCTATACCTATTTTTTATTATTTTATTCAATAATAAAAGAATAAAATTTAACGTAACATCAAAAGAACAGCGTCTTATTAATCAAATATTTTGTTTGAGCATGAACCTATTATATAAAATTACTAATTCCACACATATCAGTAGTATAGATTAGAGGAATTATTTTTTCCCATCAATTCAAATACCTTTTGCCCATCTAAGGCTTTTCCTTAAGAGACAAGCACAAGTTAAAACACCACCGATAATTGCTAGAATTAAATTCGCACCAGTAACGAAACAGCAGCTAGTCGAAGATTATATCATATGTCAAACAGCGAGAAATTATATCATATGTCAAACAATTAGTTATACATTTTTTTGTATTTCCTTACTCTTTCATTCGTAGGGAAAAAAACAGACCAAGTGCGAGTTGGACTCGCGCACGAAGGGTTATGCTGGTATAAGGGTTATACCATTATCTATAAAAAGTTCAAAAAAAATATGTCTGTTGTATGGGAGCCCCACTTAACTGTTTTTTATTCTATTTTTAGTATTTGTGTTGTTATAGCGGTAACAGAAATAATTCATCTGTGAAAATTTCAACTTTCTAACTATCAAGGTTCATGTGATGCAGCCAGGTGACAGACAGATCTATCTGCCTGTTCGTCTGTCACGGGACCCTATAGTCCCTTAGTAATAGAGTCCCGTTTTACCCTACCTCTAGAGCCGTCATAGCTCAGTGTCCAGGCGCTCGTCTTTAATTACATTTATTCGTGCAACCTGAGTTCGATACCCTCTTTACACAGGAGGCCTTTACCCAGCCGTGGGACATTTATAGGCTGTATTACTTTACTTTACTTAACCTATGGGTACGGAACCCTAAAAATGTGAAAAAA